CACACAGATAGTCACCTGCAGGTGGAATTGAATGTGGCTCCCTGGTGCTTTGAGGCTGCAGTGCTAACCACCAATCCACCGTGCCTGCATTTGTCCCATATCCCTCTAAACCTTTCCTATCCATATACCTGTCCAAATATCTTTAAAATGTTGTAATTGTATCTGCATCTTCTACTACCTCTGGCTGCTCGTTCCATATATGCACCCACGCTCTGTGTGGAAGAAGGTTACCCCTCAGGTCCATTTTTAATCTTTCTCCTCTCTCTTAACTGTATGCCCTCTCTTTTTGAACTCTTGTACCATAGGAAAAAGGCCATTACTATTCACCTTATCTATGCCCCTCATGTTTTTATAAACCTCTATAAGGCCGCCCCCTCAACCTTGCACGCTCCAGGGAACAACATCCCACCTATGTAGCCTGTCCTTGTAACTCAAACCCTCCAGTCCTGATAACATCCTCGTAAATCTTTTCTGCCCCCTTTCCAAGCTAGTAACATCCTCCCTAAAACGGGGAGTCCGGAACTGTTCGCAGTACTCGGAAAGTGGCCTCTGTAATATCCTGTACAACCGCAGCATGACGTCCCAATTCCTGTACTCGGTGCTCTGACCAATGAAGCCAAGTGTGCAAAATGCCTTTCTTCACCACCCTGTCTACCTATGACACCAAGATTGTGCGTGCACTCGCATGGGGCTATGTGAGGGTGCCCGATTGGGTCAGTGGTCATATGGGTCTGTGCTTGTTGCGCTCGCACATGAGAGTGCAGTGTGAATGGAAGTTGAGGCGATGGCTTTTCCCTCTGGCTGACGTGCACCCTTTCCTGCCGCAGGCAGTCGCTGGAGGAGCAGCAGGCGCAGGAGGCCAAGCTGACCGAGGAGGTGGAGGCAGCGAAACGGCGCATCGATGAGATTAACATGGAGCTGAATCAGGTCATGGAACAGCTAGGTGATGCTCGCATTGACCGGCAGGAGAGCAGTCGCCAGCAGCGTAAGGCGGAGATCATGGAGAGCATTAAACGCCTCTACCCAGGCTCTGTGGTGCGTGACTCGAGGGTCGGGGTGGTGGTGTGTCCATCGCGGCTGGGTCAGAAAGTACACCCGAGAGCGGCAAACACAATGGGTGTGAGATATGGGAAAGGATTAGAGAGGCCCAGTCAGATAGGGGAGTGCTAAAGTCACCGCAGTCCCAGAGGACTGTAGGGCTGTTCTCTCTTTTTAGAAGGAGAGATGATGGGTGGTGAGGTCACCACGCCTCAGATGAGGTTAAGAAAGTAGGGTCTCCGTGGTAACCTCAGCCAGTGCGGGGATTGAACCCGTGCTGTTGGTGTCACTTGGCATTGCAGACCAGCTGTTCAGCCAACTGAGCTAACCAACACATAATACAGTAGATACGGGGGAAGACTCAAGTTGGAATATTTGTCCTGGAATCGCTTAACACGAAAGGAGGCTGTTTGTTTCAGTGCTGGCTGTTTGCAGTAAAGTACCAATGTCCCTGCCTGTCTGTGTCCCTCTTTGGAATGTTCTCCTTTTCAAAATTATCTTCGTTAAATTCTCTTTCTGCACACTTGGGAACAGATGTCGGAAACTGCAAAGGTGTGATGGCATTTGCTTCTCCTGCCTTTTAAACTCTGTTACACTCCCCTCTGATGGCAAGCCACCTGGTGGAGAGTGTTTTCCACCCCAGACATCAAGATATAAACACTAGGAACAGGAGTAAGCCATTAGGCTCTTTGAAGCAGCTCCACTATTCTATGATCACAGCTGACCTGGAGTAATGTCACATGTGGTCCCTCCTGTAGGATGTGGGAAATAACAGAGTGTACTCCGAAAGTTGTTTCACGCCAATTAGGGGCAGACGACTACATCGTAAAGGGTTAACCATAAGTCAGTTTGATGTATCAGGAAAAGATTCTTTCTTAACGCTGCCGCATATCAAGTTACTGAAATAATTTTGCCCACTTTAGGAGCCTTTGACACTGAGATGTTAGGGAGTCAAACACAATAAACGATAAACACAATAAATGAAGAACAGTACAGTACAGCGCAGGAACAGGCCCTTCTGCCCATCAAGTCTGCGCGACATAGAACATCTTTCTAAACTTAAAAAAAGTTTAACGTATTTTTCTAATCAACTAATCAGAGATGTTATCGTGCACCTCTAGCGCAAGTGGGATTTGAACCTGGGCCTCCTGGTCGTCCAGGGCACCTCAAGAGGTGTTGCCTTTTTCAACTACAAACCTGTAATGAGCGGATTAGGTTGTTGTCAAGCTGGGCTGAATGAGAATGCAAGACATAACAGCAGGAGAAAGTCTTTCAGATCATTGAACCTGTTTCACTTTCCAATAAGATGTGTAGGTACCAGTGTTGGACTGGGATGGACAAAGTCAGGGGTCACACAACACCAGGTTATACTCCAAGAGATTTATTTAAAATCACAAGTTTTCAGAGCGCTGCTCCTTCATCAGGTGAAGTGGAGGGGGGCGCACAGGCACAGGCAATATAGGCTGAGAGATAATTCTAGGTAATTAAGAGTGTCAGCAGTAATTTGTACTTATCTATTGACACTATTGCCTATATAGTCCGTGCTTGTGCGCCTCCCTCCGCTTCACCTGACGGAGGAGCAGCGCTCTGAAAGCTTGTGGTTTTAAATAAACCTGTTGGGCTATAACCTAGAGTCATGTGACTTCTGGCTATTCAGTAAGATCATAGCTGATAAGATTTTCACTTCCCTGTCTGCCCCCAAAAAAAACCTCAAACTCCCTCATCGATCAAAAATCTGTCCCACCTGGACTCGGATGCATTCAGTGCCTCACCTGGACTCGGATGCATTCAGTGCCTCAACTGTTCTCCTGGGAGAGAGAATTCAACAGATAAATAGCCCTCTGATTGTGGTCTGCCTTCTGTTTGCACAGACCCACCTCGCCCAGTATCTTTGTAGGTTCAAATCAAATATTTCTCATCCTCTGTGTGTGTGTGTCTGTGGGGGTGAGCGAGCATAGGACCAGGAACAGATATTATTAATCACTCTGTTCAGAGATTTTATTCCACTCCTCTGGAGCAGATGGTCCTTGAACCCAGGACTCCCGACTCGGAGGTATGGATGCTACCGTTGCAGCAGAAGATCCGTCCTCGCCGATCTGCGTCCTGATGACCCTTTTCCCTATCTCACCCAATTGTTTGTTATCGTCCAATTTGCATTTTCTCACATGGCCAAGTTCTGTAAATGTAACTACCTGAGAGGGTGTCATAAAAATTAGAAGGAAGGGGGGTGTGCAGCACGTCCATCCGTGTGTGCGAGTTTGAGGCTGATCTTCCATTTCATCGTCCCTGTCCTGTCCAGCACTGTTCCTGTACGCCTTGCCATGTTTAATATTTTCTCCCTCTCTCTCTCTTTTTAAATCCCCACCCCTACCCCTCCACCATTTTCCTTGCAGTATGGCCGTCTGATTGATCTGTGTCAGCCCACACAGAAGAAATATCAGATTGCTGTCACCAAGGTACTCGGGAAAAACATGGACGCCATTATTGTGGACACGGAGAAGACTGGCAGGGACTGCATCCAATACATCAAGGAGCAGCGGGGGGAGCCGGAGACCTTCCTGCCTCTTGACTACCTAGAGGTCAGCAAGCATTAGTTGGCTTCTGTCACTGTATAACACAGGTGCAGTACCGGCGGAGACGGGGCTGTCGCTGTATGACACTGGGGTGCAGTACCGGTGGCGACGGGGCTGTCGCTGTTTTACACTGGGGTACAGTACCGGTGGGGACAGGTCTGTCCCTGTATAACACTAGGGTACAGTACCGGTGGGGACAGGTCTGTCGCTGTATGACACTGGGGTACGGTACCGGTGGGGGACGGGTCTGTCGCTGTATGACACTGGGGTACGGTACTGGTGGGGGACGGGTCTGTCGCTGTATGACACTGGGGTACGGTACCGGTGGGGCGTGGGTCTGTCGC